CAATTGCATTTCTCCCTTTAGATCTGGATGAACAATTCCCATCTGAATCTGCACTCCCTGCAATTTGACACAAGTCCTACCGTATTTTCTGGTAGAGGCCCGCACACTCCTATAGATAATTTTTGTGGTGCGTCCCCTGGGAGAATTGTTATAGGCCAAATGCAACACAGATCTACTGTTGCACTTCCTGAGGTAGCAGGAGACAATGTATTTATTTTTTACTTCTAAAATTTATTTTAATTTTTTTTTTTTAGAATTTTACAGCACTTTGTCTATGGTGGCATTTGCTGCACACCACTGTAGACTACAGGTGTTGCAACTTCTACTCATTATCCTGTTAACTGTCCTGGCGGCAGAAGTCGAACTTCCTGAGTTTGCCACTTAATGAATGGATTTGTACCTTGCCAGGACTGGGAAGAGGTGGCCATTCATGACTCACTTTGGTGCTGTTGGCTCAGCCCATTTTTGAGTGAATGCTGAAGGAGGTTCCTTCAAACTGTGAGGCATTTTAGACACATTTGCATAGATTACCTCCTTTTCGTGATGCCCTCCTGAAATTAATCTTTCCGTTTCTCTTTTTTTTGACCTGAAAGATTTTCTATCAAACTCTTCTTCACTATCATCTTATATACTGATATTTACACTATTCTCAGAAATTCCTTCAGCCCCCTGACTTATACCAAGAGTGCTGATGAGAGTAGTATTTTCAAAAGGTTCTAATGTGGCTCTCACCATGGCCCAATGATTCCACACAGTCTGCAGTAAAAATTTTCCTTCATCCTATGCATATTTGAGTTCTGACCCAACTCTTTCCCATACACCAACATCTAGAGTTCAATATCTGGGAACCACAGACAGTACTGATCCACGGCCTCAGAGAGTAATGAGATTTTCCATCCCAATCTTTACACTGCCTTTCTTTAAAAGTTCCTGAATAAGACAAAGGTAATTATTATGCTTGCTGTGTGATTTTCCCATTTTGTTACCCTAGAATATTCCAGGCACACTAGCTTACCGCTAGGCTGACCAAGCTAGGCTCACCAAAACACGTTCCCGGGAGTCCCTGGATGAACTGCTTCCCGCAAATGACCATACTCAGGCGTCTCTTCACCAGGAGCACAAGGAATCCACATTGAGCACCAGATGTTGGGAACGAGCCCAAACGTGTATGTGGGTGCCCCGTGTCCCGGCAGTGATGAGGGAGTGAGAAAAGAAATAAAGACAGAGACACAAGAACAGAATTTTACAGCACGGGTCCAGGGTCCAGCACTCTCTCCCACCCAGCTCTGGGCTTCTTGAGCTTTTTATAGGGTGCATTACCTTGTTAATCTTGCAGGCTGTGGGGAGGAGGGATTGAGGAGGAAGATAGCCTGAGGAAGGGCATGTGTCTCCAGCATTCAATAGCAAACATGGTTCTCCTAAGAAATGCTAACTAAAGAAACTGAGGTTTGACCGGGCGCGGTGGCTTAAGCCTGTAATCCCAGCACTTTGGGAGGCTGAGGTGGGTGGATCACGAGGTCAAGAGATCCAGAGATCCAGACCATCCTGGTCAACAAGGTGAAACCCCGTCTCTACTAAAAATACAAAAAATGAGCTGGGCATGGTGGCGCATGCCTGTAATCCCAGCTACTCAGGAGGCTGAGGCAGGAGAATTGCCTGAACCCAGGAGGCGGAGGTTGCGGTGAGCTGAGATCGCGCCATTGCACGCCAGCCTGGATAACAAGAGCGAAACTCCATCTCAAAAAAAAAAAAAAAAAAAAGGAAAGAAACTGAGGTTTTACCACCCATTGTCTATCCAGGTGTTTGGCAAGAGAGGTCAGCCATAAGGTCTGACCACACACAGTGCATCAAGGGGCTTTTATCTCCCGAGCATCATAGGCCAAGTCTGTGGCGTTCCCATAATCTCTGCCCTGCAAGGCCTTCCAGCCTTACCAGCTCCCATCTGCAAAGACCTTCCCAAATCTTGTGAGCAGAGGTTGCATTACTTCCCAGAGTGTTTTGCATAAGCTCCCTTTAGGAGATCCTCACACAAACTCTATGTTGGGAGGAGTTGTGGGACCAAAGCAGTTTTTTCTGCTCTGCAACCACACCGAGTGTACCACAGTTACCAGGCGCTCTCAGATGGTCTTCACCAGAGGCCTCTTGTTACTGCTGGATCTCTGCTTTTATTTTACTCCACCATAGTTTGGATATGATCTGTGACACAAATCTCAGTGTATAAAATGCAAAGCAAGCTTGTAATTTAACTCTAAGTAACACAGGTCTGCCCCTGGCCATTTCTTCTCACAAAAATGACATCAAATCTTTCTATTTAGGAATATGTGGGGGTTTTTTTTTTTGGTTATTGTTTGTAGAGACAGAGTCTCACTGTATTGCCCAGGCTGGTCTTGACCTCTTGGATTCAAGAGATCTTCCCATGTTGGCTGGGATTGCAGGCAAGAACCACCATGCCCAGCCATTGCAGGATTGCAGGTATTTTTTTGTTGTGGTGGGTTTGTGTGTGTGTGTGTGTTTTTGAGATGGAGTCTTCACTCTGTTGCTCAGGCTGGAGTGCAGTGAATGATCTTGGCTCACTGCAACCTCCCCCTCCCAGGTTCAAGAGATTCTCCTGCCTCAGCCTCCCGAGTAGCTGGGACTACAGGCACCCATCACCACACTGGCTAATTTTTGTATTTTTAGTAGAGACGGGATTTCACCATGTTAGCCAGGATGGTCTCAATCTTCTGACCTTGTGATCCGCTTGCCTCAGCCTCCCGAAGTGCTGGGATTACAGTTGTGAGCCACTGCACCCAGCCTTCAGTTTTTTGAAAAAAGAATTTGTTGGCTGAGTGCAGTGGCTCACGCCTCTAATGCTGGCACTTTGGGAGGCAGATTACTTGAACCCAGGAGTTCGAGACCAGCCTAGACAACATGGCAAAACCCTGTCTCTAACAAAAAGCACAAAAATTAGCCAGGCATGGTTGTGTGCTCCTGTAGTACCAGCTGTTCAGGAGGCTGAGGTGAGAGGACTGCTGAAGCCAAGGAAGTTGAGGCTGCAGTGAGCAGAGATGACACCAGTGCGCTCCAGCCTGGGTAAGAGTGAGACCCTGTCTCAAAACAAAACAGACAGCAAAATTTGGGCTCAAGTAATTCTCCTACCTTGGCCTTGCAAAGTGCTGGGAGTACTGGGTGTGAGTCACCATGTCCGGCCAGCTAATTCAAATCAAACTTTTCTTTGTAGAGACAGAGGGTCTTTCTATGTTGCTCTATTCAGTCTTAAACTTCTGGGCTCTAATGATTCTCCCATTCATTTTGGCCTCCCAGAATTACAGTCATGAGGCATGGCACCTGGCCTGACTTATCAGTTATTTATTTATTCACTTTTAGTTTTTATTTTAATTCTTGTAGTCAAGATCTAGCTCTGTTGCCCAGGTTAGAGTGCAGTGGTGCAGTCATGACTCACTGTAGCCTCAACCTCCTGGACTCAGGTGGTCCCTCCCACCTCAGCTTCCCAAGTAGCTGGTACCACAGGTGCTTGCACCATGCCCAGTTAATTTTTTGAGACAGAGTCTCACTCTGTTGCCCAGGCTGGAGTGCAGTGGTGTGATCTCTGCAACCTCTGCCGCCCTGGTTCAAGTGATTCTCCTGGCTTGGCACCCTGAGTAGCTGGGATTATAGGCACTTGCCACTGTTCTGGCTAGTTTTTATATTTTTAGTAGAAACGGGGTTTCACCATCTTTGTCAGGCTGGACTTGAACTCCTGACCTCATGATTTGCCCACCTTGGCCTCCGAAAGGGCTAGGATTACAGGCATGATCCACTGTGCCTGGCCTATATATATATATATATATATATATATTTTTTTTTTTTTTTTTTTTTTTTTGAGAAGGAGTCTCACTCTGTAACCCAGGCTGGAGTGCAGTGGCGTGATCTTCTTGGCTTGCTGCACCATCCATCTCCTGGGTTCAAGCAATTCTCCTGTCTCAGCCTCACAAGTAGCTGGGATTACAGGCACGTGCCACCACACCCAACTAATTTTTGTTTTTGTTTTTTAGTAGAGACGGGGTATAAGAATTCACTCAAGGTGGTGGCAAAAATATTAAAGGAAAGATACTAGAGAAAGTTATAGAATATTAGTCTTAAACTCTTTTAGAAGGCCTAAAGGTTTTTTCTATAGTTCTTGGCTGAAAGCAGCCAGAGTCTTTTTGCAGGAGCCAGAGAAATTAAGGCGCAAATATAAAGGAATGTGAGTAGTAGCTAGCCTGTTTACTCATACAGTCTTAAACTAACTTTTTTTTTTGAGACGGAGTTTCGCTCTTGTTACCCAGGCTGGAGTGCAATGGCGCGATCTCGGCTCATCACAACCTCCGCCTCCTGGGTTCAGGCAATTCTCCTGCCTCAGCCTCCTGAGTAGCTGGGATTACAGGCACGCGCCACCATGCCCAACTAATTTTTTGTATTTTTAGTAGAGACGGGGTTTCACAGTGTTGACCAGGATGGTCTTGATCTCTTGACCTCGTGATCCACCCACCTCAGCCTCCCAAAGTGCTGGGATTACAGGCGTGAGCCACCGCGCCTGGCTTAAACTAACTTTTAAGCCAGATTGCCCTCTCAGGAGGAGGCTGACCAAAGGTATTACCCACTAATGGTATTTGCTTTAAGCATCAGAACCTGTTTTTTTTGTTGTTGTTTTTTTTTTGTTTTTTTTTTTTTTTCCTTTTCTTTTTTAGACAGTTTCGCTCTTGTTGCCCAGACTGGAGTACAATGGTGCAATCTCGGCTTACTGCAACCTCCACCTCCCGGGTGCAAGTGATTCTCCTGCCTCAGCCTTCCAGGTAGCTGGGATTACAGGCATGCGCCACCATGCCCAGCTAATTTTGTATTTTTAGTAGAGACGAGGTTTCTCCATGTTGGCCAGGCTGGTCTGGAACTCCTGACCTCAAGTGATCTGCCGGTCTTAGCCTCCCAGAGTTCTAGGATTACAAGTGTGAGCCACTGAGTCCACCTATTTTTAATTTTCACGTCAGCTGGATAATGTGTCAGCATCATAACAAAGTTTGAGAGGCACATGTTACATATGCACGTGAACACCCAAACATGCTTGTTAACTACGAAAGGATCCCTTCAGTCATCTTTGAATGGCTTTTTAATATAAATTGAACTGCATTTGAATATTTCGATGGTTTCTTTTTTTAGTACTTACTACCAGCCATTACTTGTTCAATTTTGTATTCTTTGCTTACAGTTTGACCTAAGAAAAGGGAAAGGGGCTTTCCTGAGTTGCATTTCTTTCCTTCTCTCTCTCTCTCTCTCTCTCTTTTTTGAGATGGAGTCTTGCTCTGTCACCAGGCTGGAGTGCAGTGGCGCAATCTTGGCTCACTGCAGCCTCCGCCTCCTGGGTTCAAGCGATTCTTCCGCCTCAGCCTCCTGAGTACCTGGGACCACAGGTGCATGCTATCACGCCCGGCTAATTTTTTTGTATTTTTAGTAGAGATGGGGTTTCACTGTATTGGCCAGATTGGTCTCGATCTCTTGACCTTGTGATCTGCCTGCCTCAGCCTCCCAAAGTGCTGAGATTACAGGCGTGAGCCACCGCACCTGGCCGTCTTTCTTTTTTTTTTCTTCTTGAGTGGAGTCTCACTCTGTGGCCCAGGCTGGATCTCTGCTCACTGCAGCCTCTGCCTTCCGGGTTCAAGCGATTCTCTTGCCTCAGCCTCCCGAGTAGCTGGGACTATAAGCGCATGCCACCACTCTGTCTCTAAATGAATAAATAAATAAATAAATAAATAAAATTAAATAATTAAAAAAAAAATGTTCAAAAGTATGCCCCAGATGGGTGTGGTGGCTTATGCCTGTAATCCCAGCACTTTGGGAAGCTGAGGTGGGTGGATCACCTGAGGTCGGGAGTTCAAGATCAGCCTGACCAATATGGAGAAACCCTGTCTCTACAAGAAATACAAAATTGGCTGGACGTGGTGGCACATGCCTATAATCCCAGCTACTCAGGAGGCAGAGGTTCCAGTGAGCCAAGATTGCGCCATTGCCCTCTGGCCTGGGCAACAATAGAGAAACTCTTAAAAAAAAAAAAAAAAAGTACTGCCCCATCTTTTCTACATACTAACCTGCTTTTTTTTGAGACAGAGTCTCACTCTGTGACCTAGACTGGAGTGCAATGGCGCCATCTCAGCTCACCGCAACCTCTGCCTCCCAGCTTCAAGTGCTTCTTCCGCCTCAGTCTTCTTAGTAGCTGGTATTACAGGCACATGCCACCACGCCCAGCTAATTTTTGTAGTTTTTAGTACAGAGGGTTTCACCATGTTGGTCAGGCTGGTCTGGAACTCCTGGCCTGGTGATCCACCCACCTTAGCCTCCCAAAGTTCTGGGATTACATGAGCCCGGCTGGTTTGTTTGCTTTCAGATAGGGCCAGGCTCTATCAGCCAGGCTGTAAAGCAATGGTGTGATGATCCTCAATGCTGCCTCAGCCTGAGGGCTCAAGTCATCCTCCCACTTCAGCCTCCTGAGTAGCTGGGACCACAGGGGTGAGCCACCATGCCTGGCTAATTTTCAAATTTTTTGTAGAGATGGGGTCTCTATGTTGCCCAGGCTGGTCTCAAACTACTGGGTTCAAGTGATCCTCCTGCCTTGGCCTTACTTAGAGAGGCTGGAATTAAAGGAAGGAGCCACTGTGTCTGGTCAATCCTTTTTATATGTTTAAAGAAAAATAAATGTCCTGTTTTCAGGCTAAGATCAAATAATCCTCGTGTGTTAGGAAGCATGTGACATGGATTTTTGCAGCAGAGGGTTAGAAAGAAACTTCGTTTATATACTTGGCCCTCTGCATTTCAGGGCTCCACCGCCATCTGTCTGAGTGTACAGTGAACTTTATTAGCATCTGGACTGTCAAACTGCTTTTTTTCCTTTGCTTTGTCCCAGCCTTCTCTTGAAGGCTAAATTCTTCTTGAAAAGTTAATATTCTTTGTGTTCCTTTAGTAAATATTAAGCTTTATGTCAACACATATTGCAGGATCTGAGGCTCTCTAGGCACCTCTGGTCCCTTTCTCTAGTCCTTTCTCTCTAGTCTGTTTTCCTGCCCTCCATCTCCTAATTTGTTAGTTTGTTTTACTATTATATTTTATATATATATATTTTCTGAGACAGAGTTTTGCTCTTGTTTACCAGGCTGGAGTGCAATGGTACAATCTCGGCTCACTGCAGCCTCTGCCTTCTGGGTTCAAGTGATTCTCCTGCCTCAGCCTCCCGAGTAGCTGGGATTACAGGTGGCCACAGCTATACCTGGCTAATTTTTGTATTTTTAATAGAGACAGGGTTACACTATGTTGGCCAGGCTGGTCTTGAACTCCTGACCTCAATTGGTCCGCCTGTCTTTGCCTCCCAAAGTGCTGGGATTACAGGTGTGAGCCACTGTTCCTTGCCTATTCAGTTGTTTCTAAGAAGGGAGATATTACTTTTGATTGACATAGTTCATCCATTTATTTATCAAACAGCAATTGCTTACTATATGCTGCCTCCGAATAGGCAGGTTCATCAACGAAAAACACAAAGCTCTTGCCACTTAAGGACAAACAGACATCCAGGCAAAGAAATGTAATAAACCAATGGAGCATGATTGTAGCAGAGGCAGATGCATGGTGGAGGGGAAGTAATTCTGTCTGAGGAGTTGAGAAAAGCTGTCCTTGAGCTAGATCTTGAATCAGTAGGAGCTCATGAGGTTGAGTGGAAGAACAGGAAGGGCCAGCAGCAGAGGTATGGCATGTACCAGATGCAGAGGCCTGAAAAAGCCTAGTATGTTGTGAGACTGGCAGGTGTTTGAAGGCGGATGTGGCTGGAGGGTGAAGCAGGGGGGTGGCTGATAAGAATGGAGAGGCAAGCTGTTTTATCCTCTTTATGCATGCAGAAGGAACTGACTTCAGGCTGGGCACAGTGTCTCACGCCTGCAATCCCAGCACTTTGGGAGACCTAGGCATGCATATCACTTGAGGTCAGGAGTTCAAGACCAGCCTGCCAACATGGCGAAACCCCGTCTCTTCTAGAAATACAAAACCAGCAGAGTGTGGTGGTGGACACCTGTAATCCCAGCTACTGGAGAGGCTCAGGCAGAAGAATTGCTTGAACCTGACAAACAAAACCACACACACACACATACACACACACACGCACACACACACACACACAAAAGGAAGACTTAAGCTGTTTAGAGCCATGAGGGTCTGTGAGTGAGATACTATGTTTCTAGGGAGTTATGTTGGACCATCTCAAAGACAGCTTCTGACCTCACAGTTTTCAACCTTTTTTATATTTATTTATTTATTTAAATCAGTCTCCGTAGAGACTGTCAAAAATTGCCAGTGCCGACTGTATTGCAAGTCATCATGGCGGGGTATTGGCAAAAGTTTTCAATTAGCAATAATTGCGCCTCGGACAAACCTCATTGGCTACGATACTACCACTGCGCAAAGCTTTTCTTATTTATTTTTAGAGACAGCGTCTTGCTCTGTCTCCTAGGCTGGGATGCAGTGGTACCGCCATTGCTCACCGCCGCCTCATAACCTCCTGGACTCACATGATCCTCTTGCTTTTGCTTCCCTTAAGTATTGGCACCTGATGGGACTTACAGGGACACATCAGGAGTCCCAGATAATTTTTTTTTTTTTGAGACAGTCTCACTCTGTCATCCAGGCTGGAGTGCAGCTGCGCTATCTTGGCTCACTGCAACCTCTGCCTCTCAGGTTCAAGAGATTCTTGTGCCTCATTCCTCCAAGTCTGTGACTACAGGCGTCTGCACCACGATGCCTGGTTAATTTTTGTATTTTTTGTAGAGATGAGGTTTCACCATGTTGACCTGGCTGGTCTCGAACTCCTGACCTCAAGTGATCCACTGGCCTCAGCCTCTCAAAGTGCTGGGATTACAGGTGTCAGCCACCACACCTGGCCTGTTAGTTTTTTTGAGACAGAGCCTTGTTCTGTCACCCAGACTGGAGTGCAGTGGCCCAATCTCAGCTCACTGCAACCTCTGCCTCCTGGGTTCAAGTGATTTCTCATGCCATAGCCTCCATTTCTCATGCCATAGATGATATTACAGGCATGAGCCACTGTGCCCATCGAGGCCCAGATAATTTTAAAATTTATTTGTGTCTTTATTTTGAAATGGGGTCTTACTATGTTGCCCAGGTTGGCCTTAAACTCTTGTCCTCAAGCAATCCTCCCTCCTTGGCCTCCCAAAGGGCTAGGTGACAGGCATGAGTCACTGCACCCAGCCTTGAGCTTTCGTGCTAAAATCTGTTCAGAACCTCTGGTTGGTACTTTTTATCTGGCACATGCAGGGCACCTTGGACCTCTTATCTCTGAGCACTGGTCTGAACCCCAATTTCTACCCACTTGCTTTGCTTCTCACAGGGGCTGCCCCGTGCACCCTTTGTTCCTAGGGTGGGGATGGGGATGGATGCCTTGGGCTGCAGAAGGGACTAGTAGAGGATGAGCCTTTTTACACCGTTTTCTCTGTTATTACTTAAGATACTGGCTTTTGCTTTCTTCTAAGTACACAGCAATCTTAGCTTCCAACCTTGGTGGGAAAGGGAGAAAGAACCGATTTCCTCCAGCTCCTCTCTGAAAATATCCCAACTGGCACTGTTTAGGAACAAGGAGTTCCTGAGAGTGTTGGCACTCCATGGTGTTGATGTCCGGTAGTTTCCTGCTGTGAACCTTGTCTCTGCTCCACTTCAATCCAAGGACCCTGCGGAGAGAATTCTAGAGGTTTTCAAAGTGTCTGCAGTACCAGCTGCCTCCAAGGCCTAATATTGTGAAGTGATAGGGAGATAGGACCCTGGGGGAGTTTGGGGTAATTTGTGCCCTGTAAGGTGGGTAAGAGTCTGGCCGTGGCATATTCTGGTCTATTCTAGGAAAAAGGTGGATGCCTCTGATTCCCAGCTCTGTTAAGTTCATTACAGCCCTGCCAGTCTCTTCTGGAATCCGTCTGATTCCTAGCTGCTAAACATCCAGCTGGGGGTGGGGTAGGATAAGAAGGGGGGCGTCTACCTCCACTCTCCTGCCCAAACATTGATTTTAAAGTACTGTGAAGAAGACTGGATTAGCGTTAATTCA